AGATTGTTCGAAATCCTTTTTTTTTTTTTTTATTGACAAATAACACAAAAGGGGCGATGTATATAATAATGAAAAAATCAACATGATATATGATAAGATAACATTCTTAATTACTAATTAAAGTTGAGTTTTGCTTTAAGTAATTGCATGTGGTTAATGTTGAAATGATATATTTCTCAATTTCAACATATGAATAGCTTAATCTGTGTGAATTATTACGTTGTATTATATACATACATAAGTTCGTACAAACTGTTAATAACATAAGGATCGTATTTAATTGATTATTAATTTTTATATTTAGTAGATTATTACGTTAAATATTTCATTTTATGATAATAAAAAATTAAAATTATCGAAATAATTAGTGAGTTGTCTCCAATCTACATTTTAAAAATTTCAGTGAAAAAAAAAATTAAGTTTTAGAGTTTAATATTTGTGGTTATACAAGACGACTGCGTGTGTATATATATGTGTGTGTGTGTGTGTGTGTGTATATTCACAAAGAGTTTGTAATTTACGACGAGAAAGATTAATTTTCTTTAATCTGTTGTATAATATTTCCAAGACAATTAAGTTTCTATTCTCTCTAAAGGGGAAAACTATATTAACATATATATATATATATATATACTAACAAATAGATACACATATACATACATATATACAGGCTGGTATACAAAAATCTCATTTTCTTTCACAGAGAAAGATTCCAACATCTCTTTTTCCAAATTGTTCAATTTTTTATAGAAATTCACTGAAATTTTCCCTTCTACACTGTCCTTGCCTTTTCTGGCAAACAAAATTTCTCTTGAAATGGAAAATTAAGAACAAAAAAATTTCTTGACTATCAAAAAATAAAATTACAACAATTAAAATTTCTTCACCTCAAAAAAATTATTATTTAGCTTCTCATTTCTCAACCTGTCGGTGCTCACCACAATACAAGATTCAGAATACATATACTCCAAGAATATTATAAGTGTAAAGATTTAAAAAAAAAGAATACAAAAAACACCAAACCATAGAGTTATAAAATTATTATATAGTAGTACTAATATGTATATATCATGTTTAATCTTGATACTATTATAATAATTATTAATTAATTAAATTACCATAACAAAATCACACACACCCACATAAAATAATTAATTGAACACCAAGTGTAATTAGAAATCAAAATCGTAAGATGGTATTTGTACCACACTCTTCTCACTTTGAGGAACATGCAGAATTGGATGGACATTCGAGTCGTCTTGCCAAGTCACGGGCGGGAGGGTTTCGGGTGAATCGGAGTTTTTCTGCCGCAAGGTTGGGAGGTCTTCGGACCCTCCCCCGGAGGGTGACGGTACTACGAGCGTCCCTTGATTATACAAAGTGCTTAATTGGTGAAAATAAGGGCATGTCCTGGAATCAATTGACCTTTTCTTGTTGACATCCCTTGTTTTTCTGAAGTACTTGTTTATATTCTCCCATTTCTCTTTACACCTCTTGGCACTTCTCTTGTACCCCAACTCTAACATCCCTTGTGAGATTCTCT